TTCTACCGATGCAACAGAGAATTGTATTAGCACAGCTCTAGAGCAGGGGTAGGCAACATTTTTGGCGGGAGTGCTGAAAAAACTGCAATATCTACCTTGTAAGGTGCTGGAGTGCCAGCATGCCAGAAAAACAAAACCAGAGTGGGGGCTCCATGGCAGGACACACTGCATAGTTAATAATCATAAATGTTGCATTTTGGGGGAAGGTTTTTTTGGTTTTTTTACAGTAAATACCAGGTTTCCTAAAAACTCTAAACCTGGTGACAATAAATAAAACTTCATATACTACCTTTGTTGTTGTGTGTTCTTTCTTTAAGCATGCTGTGATGATGACAGAGAGAAAAAAGATAAGAGAAAAACACTAACCACCTGGTGATATTGTGGCAAGGGGCAGAGTAGGCCCTTGGTCACAGGGTCCTAACCCACTCCTGTCTTATTTTCATTCACCTACCACACCTTGGCTGTAAATGGCAGGTAGACTAGAGAGAAACAGGGGATTGTCCTTGGTCTTTACAGTGAGGCTTGGAAGATCACATCCTGGTTCTTCGCGTGGCTCCGACACCTCTACACAATGCCTATACTTCTCCAAAGAGATGTTGTAATGGAAGATGTTGGTTCTTTAAGCATATGTTTACTTAATTCCTCAAAATAGATGCTCTTTATTCACTGCCGTAAACAAGTAAAAATGCTCTCAAATAAAAGATCTTTTCTTAGTGGCTGCCTTGGCCCTGCTTCTGACAGCTGAGTTTGGTGATGTTAGGCTGTTGCTTGTCATCAAACGCATACATGAATCTGAACTGTCAGTTGTCAGACGGTTTCTCATAGGACTGAGTATGGCTTTCATTTGTGAAAACACTTGTTCACAGCAATAAGTAGATACAAAGACAAACGGCAAGGCAAAAGCTACTTTTTCCGTGTAGGCATACTTTTCAGGAAGGGAAAGCCAACAAGCTGTAATCTTGAGTTGTAAGTCCCTTTCATTCTTAAGTTCACCTTGTAGCGATTTGAACTTCGATACCTAGATGCATGAGCTTTGAAAGTCAATCAGTTCCAATTCAAATCCTTCAAAGTTCATCCACTGAAAGTACTGCAGTTTTATATCACTTTCCCTGATACTATCCAGGTTCACAAGAAATGAAAACATGGGTCCTCTGTTGCAAAAGTCCTGGAAGCATCTAGTGAACTCATCATCCAGCTGTCCTATATAGTTGCATATATCCCTATTATTCAATTGATACTGCTCCGAATGGATTTTCAGACTGGGGAAGTATCAAAAGGCAGACGTTTTGATCTAGTCTGAAAACAGACAACTTAGCACAGAAAGCTGTCCAGTCTTCAGACAGCTGAAGGATGGTTTTCTGTGTTCCTTGTAAACTAGTATTCAAATCATTTAAATGTGATGTGATGTCTGTCAGAAACATCAGTGTTGTTAGCCAGCTGTCATCAGTAAGGTTTGCATATTGCTGACCACTTTCCTCAAGAAACAGTTTGATGGATTCGAGAGACAAGCAACAATCACTTGAGCACGTTACCATGACTCAACCAGCGTACAGGTACTCCTCACTTAACCTCGTCCCGGTTAACTTTGTTTCATTCTTACGTTGCTGATCTATTAGGGAACATACTCATTTAAAGTCACACAATGTTTGGTTATAACGTTTGGCCGCCACTTGCTGGTAGGTAACTACTGTGATGTAATTGGATTTGCTTAATGTCATTTTGCTTAAAGTCGTAACTATGACAGTAAGCGAGGAGCTATACCAGGGGTGGGCAAAATGTGGCCCGTGGCCAGATGCGGCCCACCAGGCCATTCTACCCAGCCCACAGGACCCCTAAAAAATTTTGAAAATGTTATGCAGCCCTTGATGGCTTGCCAAAACTCAGTAAGCGGCTCTCCGCCCAAAAAAATTGCCTGCCCCTGAGCTATACATTACTGTGCAGCACTAAATCTCCATATGCAGAATTCATATAATTTAAAAGTCCATGGAATTTCCTGTGTGTCAGAGAGGAATGGGCAATCAAAAAGTTGACAATTTTCACAACCATTGTCATGATTTCATTTAAATCAGAAGATGGGATCTTAGCACACAAGCTCGCCTGATAAATAATACAATGGAAACTCAAAAGAGGATGTCCAATCTCTGTTTCCAAAAGCCTTATTATTCCAGCTGTTTTACCTGCCATTGCAGGTGCACCATCACTGGTAACAGAGAACACTTTGTGTGGGTCAATTTGTTGCTGTATAAAATATCTTTGACCGGATTAAGTATATTGTTGGCCTTTGTTGTGCAATGCATAGCACTCAAAGAAAACAATTCCTCCTGAACTTCCCCAGAGATAAAATATTGAACAATTATATCAAGACAGGGGATATATAAATCATTTGTCTGTGCTTTCATTCAGTGCAAGGCTCATCACATCACAAGCATGGGTGACAATGGCATTTCATCAATACAAGCAATGATGTCTTTCTTATTTGCAAGATCCTGAAACAGATCTTCAGCACATTTTAAGAAAGAAGCCTTTAAGTATTCTGGAAAACGCTTGCCTTTCCGAGCTAGAGCTAGAATGTAACTTGCCCGTGTGGAAAGAGTATTCCTAGTTACAAAACTAGAGAAGCTGCCTGTTTTTTAAATGAATCAACAGCTTTTCTAATGGATTAATGTTTGCCTGCTTCATCAACTACAAGAAATTTGGCTTTGTGCTTGGTTGCCAAATGGTGCCGGACACTGGAAGTATGAGATACCACACTCTCGCAGCCCAGACTACAGACAACACGATCCCCTTGCTGCACAAAACCATACGATTCTCTCCATGCTGGCTGACACTTTTGAATATCTTTGTTTTTTTTACTATACATATATACCTATATGCGTTCTAACTGTAAAATTTCCTGAAGTTCACACAAACCAAAGGCAGTGCAAACAATGTAGACAGGTAAATAGAAAGCAAAAAATGAGCAAGAATTGAATTGTTTGAAGCGTGTATAAATCTGGGTGAGGATTTCTAAAAAGGCAATGAGAGAGCAGAAACACACACAAAGAAGTGAGTAATATGAAGTGCTTAAATCTAGGAATGCAAAGTAGAGAGATCAAAATAAACTGAATACGAACTGTTTTAATAAAGACCTGAAAAACAGGAACTGGTTTAAACGAGTGAAAAACTGAATAAGAAATGATTTAACAGACCAAAATAAACCGAACAATATGAACTATTTTGAGAGCACAAACACTGTGAATCAATATAACAAAGCAAAATAAGCTGATTCACGTGAACTGGCTTGAAAGAGTGCAAAAGCTGAATATGAATCTATTTAAAAGAGCAAAATAAAGTGAATAGTACAAACTGGTTTGAGAAAGGGCAAAAACTAAGTCTGAAATAATTTAACATAGGAAAATAAATGGAATAATATGCAATCCTAAACTCTGTTTGCAGAAATCAGCACCAGCCCCAACAGGCTACTGAGCTGCTGCCCAGAGCCATGGCCTTACCTCATATAAGCAGAGAGGGAGGGGCAGATTTGGGGGTGGGCTGGTACCTGTGCCCCCTGTGATCCAAACCCCCAATGACTGACCCCCTATGTCCAAACCACACCCAATGGATCCGGACCATGCCGGGACAAGAAATGCAAAACCTGCCAACACATCTTCATCACCCCCACAATAACTACTCCCATGAACACCGTGCGCTCCCAGAGGTTGGCGAGGCATGGTGAGCTCCTGCCGGCGGTGGCAGCATTGGGAGCATGGAGGCAGCAAGCGGGGAGTTCCCGCAGGCAGTCGCAGCACTGTTTGCAGTGAGGGGGTGTGTGGCAAGTGCAGGGCATCAGCGACCACCTGCAGATGCCACTGGCAGTGTCGACAGCGGCCAGCGGCACCGTCGGACCACCCGCAGATGCCACCAGCAGTGTCTGCAGCAAGGGGAAGGGGTGGCGAGTGGCGATCACCCGCAGGCGCCGCCGGCAATGTCGGTGGTGCCTTTTCACAGGGGGTGCACCACCACGCTCAGGGGGTGCACATGCACCCGCGTGCACCCCCTACGCTTCGTCAATGACTACACTTTACAACAGAAACATCACCACTCCTGGATCTTACACCTGCATCTCCAGAAATGTAATATGTTTCATCCAGTGCATCAAATGTCCTGCTGGGAAATATGTAGGAGAAACCAAACAACTGCGCACCAGAATGAACACGCACCGAAAATCTATCACAGACAGGAGTACCCAACTCCCTGCGGGTGCACACTCCTCACAGTCACTCCCTCTCCGATCTCTCGGTTCTCGTCCTCAAAAGGAACCTACAACATGCCTTTTGTAGACGGGCCTACTGGATTCGCTTCATAAATCTACAGGATACAAAAAATCATGGCCTTGATATAGACACTAGATTTCTGACACATTACAACCTGCCTGGTGTCTGATTCACCAGGTACCCGCCTGCCCTCTTACATTCTTCTTTTTCTCACCTTTCTCTCCTCCCCTCCCTTTCTGCCCTCTGACTTCCTAATTTCCAGCTATTTCCTTTTTCCATAGACAGCCGCTTTTCTACCTTGAATTACTACCTCTGGCTTCCCCCCCCCTCCCCTTCCCTGTTTTATCTTTCGTTTTCCTAATTTCTACCTATTTCTGTTTTCACTGATTGCATAGCAACGAGGAGGGAGTCTCTTCCTGACTCCCGAGCCTCGGACAGTAAAGAAGTTTTGGGACAGTAAGAAAGTTTTGGGACAGTAAAAAATTTTTCCTTATGTCCAGTCTAAATCAGTCTTCCAGCAGTTTGTCACCGTTGGACCTCCTGTCGCACTTTTAGCCTCTCTCGTTCCTCGGGGGGTCTCAGACGGGCAACTGCGCCCAAAAACTCGCCTTGAATTATGCTCCAACGACTTGGTTGTTCAAATACAAGACGTCGTGTCTGCTTGAGGAACCTTACACCCCCCCCGGCGTCCCCCTGCAGGCGGTGCCGGGATCTCTGAGTATGTGTGACGTCTTGTATTTATTTGCCTGTCAAGTGACACCGAACATTTACATTATCCACCTGGTATGAAGATACTTTTACACTGCGGCTTCACGGACGGGGCAAAGTGAGGTCGAAATTAAAAAACAAAATAAAAGAAGTGCCGCTTGCTGATGACAAGTCACCCAAATCAGCCTCTCACGCGGGGCCTTGCCCGAAGCCCCGGCCGCAGCGCCGATCCCACATCGGCGACGGGGCGCCCGCTTGTCCCCGGGCCGCGAGACCCGCCCTCCCCGGCCTGGCCCGGCCCCCGGAAGGGGCAGGCGCCGCTCGGGCTC